TTTTTTGGTACGGGCGCTGCCATCGTGCACAGAAATAGCAACTGTACACATCCAGTCCACAAAAAGGGCTTTAAACTTGCAGGTTACTGCTCTATTATGCAAGCAGAACAGTACGCCATCTACAAAGCATTGGTCTACATCAACAATTCCAATCAGCTTCGCGGGAAGCAGGTCTGCATCTGCTCTGACAGCCAGGCCGCTCTTTGGAGCATAAGCAAGAAAACCCAGCGTAACTATCTCCACCAACTCATCATGGACGAACTGAAGAAAAACAAAAGCAACCTCATTTACTTTTTGTGGACCCGCGCCCATCAAGGTGTAATAGGAAATGAGGAAGCAGATGTGCTGGCTAAGGAGACAGCCACTTCTCCTGTTACACCAAGCTTTGATGACATTCCAACGGTGGCTATCAAGAATCTCATTAGAGAAACGCTCATCCACATGTGGCAGAGGGAATGGGAAGAAGCGGACACTGGTAGGACTACCTTTAAATTCCTGCCTAACATTCCCAACCGTCTCTCTCTCAACCACATATATGGCAATTATTTCACCAGCCAACTCCCCACTGGCCATGGGAACATTCGCCAATATCTCAATAGATTCCACCACAGCGATACCCCCTTCTGTCAGTGTGACAGTGGCGCTATAGAGGATCCCCTGCACTTCATCTTTGAATGCAATCTCTATGACACACAGAGAACTCAACTTATTCACAAAGCCCTCATTGAAGGATTCAACTGGCCCTGCACGCCCGATCTCCTCATCAACAACAGTGCCACCTACAACGGTCTTACCGAATTTATCCGGGAAACCGGCGCTTTAAATCCAGACTTCACCAACCGGAATCAGACAAGGGATTCTTCACACGACAGTTGACCTCTACACCAGGGGCCTTGTTATAACCGGCGAAACATGCACCCGTTTGTAACTATCACCATTTTCAACTCCGGTATTTATATTTATTCTATAACCACAAAGCTTTTCTTTCATATGTAACGTGCCATAACTATGTGTACACTCTTTCTTTTCGCATCATGCACATGTATCCTCCTATTTAAATTACTGTGTTGTTCGCGCTGACGATTTCTCTCAACTTCACCATCTTTCCTATCACACTTTCACCCCCCTCATCCATCACCCCTCCTCCTCCTTTTTTTCACCCAGGCGATACCCCTGAGTAGTCCTGGTCTTCCGCCCCTTTCATTAAAAATAAAAAAAAATGTATCTTATTACAAATTTCTATACTACATGTGAAAAAAAATAAATAAATAAGATTGCTATTGTATATTCGAATATTAGTGGCGGAGTGGAATCTCTGTATTGTCAGATTTCAAAAACCCAGATTTGCGCATGCGCTTTACAGAGCACCAACCTCACCCGGTTTAGCCAGTGGAAGCCTACGACCTTGGGTGGAAGCTACACACTTATAACGATTCAAATTCTATCAAGGACCGGTTCTGGGCTGTTAGCCGCCTGCTCACTAAATATTTCGATTACGCGAATAACGAGTAGATGTATAACTTAACCCAACCAATAAGAATTTACTGGTATGTTTTTACGATAGTTCTGTATAGTTGACAGGAGTTTAAAAAATCCATTAAAATATTTGATATATTTATTCCGCTTTCCGATTTTATATTACTCACGGATTTCGATGTTAAACCAGTGATATTACGATTTCGTACATCCCATCTTTAAGGGGATGTAGAAAAAAAGTGTACAATTCTTGTATAATGTTAAAAAATTAATTATTACTTCGACAGCGTCACTTATAACTAAATTTAATGAATGAGAGAGATGCACGAGGTACAGAGAAAGCTCTAGAATTTATTTTCCTTAAATTTACGATTTATGTATCCGTTTGTCATAAAAATTTGTCTTTACACTTTTTCCCGAGACTACAAATATTCGAGTACAAAGTAACCGGTTTCGACTTATTTCTACTTAAGAAGTGGTTAAATAATTAAGCGATTAGGGAATTGGGAACATAAACAAAACCCTGACGAAAGAGCAGGAATATTACTTAAACAAAAGCTTAACCGAACCAATCTATAGCCGAGTACGGTGGGGACTGATTTCTTCGAAATACTGTATTAGATGTAATAAAGACAGAAATTTTTCCAGTTCGACGAGAGTGATCGAAAAGTTGTAAATTTTGGAAATTTCCGTGGACAACACCTGGTCCTAAAACAAATTAGTTAGAAAACAAAAGACGGACAATCTATTAAATTTAACGTATTTAGATTTTTACAGCTATGATGAGAAACGTTTAAAATTTACAACAACCCTGTCGGGTCCATTGAGATATACTAGTGATACGACAAAAGACTTTAACCGGTATCGGCACCCTCGGGGGTAGGTGTACGATTATAATGCACGCACCGCACACCTACCAAGATTGTCTCTGATTTCATCCACGAGTCACTGATAGGGAGCACTTTTAACTAAGTGGATTGTTTTAATATTTAAAAAGTAAAGAATATCTTATGCTATTTTTATGTAAGTTTCTTCACAAAACTATATTCATACAATCGAATATTTTGTACCAGGTATGTATAATTGTATATCGATCACACATTTTATTTTAACAAGTAAGTTTCTATAATTTTATTTTTAATTTTAGATCTTATATTATAGCTAGCAATTTAGAATGTAATTGTGATATTGAAAATTTATTTCAAAAAGTTTTGACTCGAGACCTTATAATGAAAAAGAAAACATTATTAAAAGAGAAAGCCTAATTAATAAATTATTATTAATTATAGCCTACCAATGCCTAAATTAAATATAAATAAGTCGACAGAAAAATTTGTTCGACATTTTCACGATAAAATTTATGAAGATATAAAATGCTTTGTAGATGCATAAAAATGCAAAAATCGTTTTGTTGGCCTTGCCTACTATTTTAAAATAAAATTAGTGTGTAGAATGAGATTGGCTTTGACGATTTAAATAATTTGAGTAAAGCTGGCAAAAAACACGAAAATCCTAAATCTCTCATCGAATCTTTCGTAAAATTGAAGCAATTTGGAAATCAAAATAGAATAGAATTTAACATTAGTACACAATATAAAATAAATATTGAAAATTATAACGAGATAGTTACGGCTAATAGATATATTATATTTTAATTAGTAGATGTTATCGAAGCGAGAATTGGAATTTAGAGGGCGTAGAGAATCTATTAAATCTAATAAAACAGAGTTAATTATATTGAACTTGCTTATTTATTAAGTGCGTTAGATAATCTATTAATTAAAAATACATTTAGAGAAGTATGCGGTTTTTACTGGCTTATCGAACAAACGAATACGAATGGACCCTAGACTATTGCTGACTGATTGCCCCTGGAAGTCGGCTTGTTACAAAAACACAGCTTCCCTATCATCAAATGTCACGGCATGCCCCTGAATTCCATGTTGTACGAGTCACTTAGATTTTACAAATACGTGTGCCTGGCTGTGAACGGCTCAGGTATTTGTAAAATCTAAGTGACTCGTACAACATGGAATATAACAGTGTTATAGGGGTCTACTGTATATGCTGTTTTAAATTTATTGAAATAGGCATTGTTTAGGGTCTGGGAATTGATCAATTCAGTTCCCATTATTCCTAATGGGGAAAATTAATTCGTTTTTCGAACGATTCATAGTTCGAACGGCTTCCTGGAATGAATTAACTTCGAAGCACGTGGCACCATCATAATATGGTCTTCAACACAAAGAAATGATTTCTCAGATTCGATTGTACAATACACTATAATTAGGCCTATATATTTGTTTACATTCTGTATGTGTTTTGCCTATCGTATAAATTAGACTATGGAAAGTAAAAATAACCCAGAAATCAACAAAAGAAATACACGGAGAGCTGCATAGAAAATGTTCCTTATATTAAGACTATAATAAGTTTCTTGTTAACTGTATTTCTTGTGAAGAATTTTATGGCCGAATGATGTTCAAGAGTCAGAGTTCTGAGCTTTTAACACATGGAGCTTAATATATGTTAAAGGGGATGAATAAGCTTTATAACTTTTTCTATCCTAATTTTACACACTACACTTTCTTGCTGGAATAGATACGTGGAATGTATGAAATTGAAACAGAAAATAGCATCTTGTTGAGGAATAGACTTATGCTAAACACAAGAATTGTCAATATAATAAGTTGAGAATATGAAACAGTTTATTGTATGCACAGTGAAAGGCAGCATTTAAACACCCTATTTGCCTACCTTTTACTTGGGTAAAACTGTTTAAAATTTTGAACTCTAATCCTTATATATTGACAAGAATATACTCATGGAATATAGATTTGGTTGGTGTAACTCAAGAGTGGCGAAGCTATCACACGATTTCGGTTTATCACCTGTCTTCTTTTCAAGCATCCTTTAGATTTATCACTCGATCATCCGTTTTGTCAATAAGCTTCTTTTCATTTATTCTAATTAAACCTTATTCGTTTTATTTCTTTAGATATCGTTATTCGAAATCTAAAACTTTGGCACGCATAAGATATTTATGCCCATTATAAGGCATGTTCCTACATGATTATAAGCCTATATTTAAATTGATTGACCTGAGACAGAGATCAATCGAAAATTCGGATGGCATAACTTTTAATGTATCTTCAGAATAAACAAAATTTTCAGTTAGAGTACAGCTCCGAATAAATCTTTTCTTCTCGAATAATTTGAACTATTAAATTTGAATGCATTTTATAAATATTGTTTATACTTTCTGTAAAATTATATATTGTGAGATCAAGACACTGAGGTTATTATTTATCGTAAGTATTTTTGTTATAGTAATTCTGTAAATAATAAATTGATGTAACTGTATAGTGTTGTTTCCACCTTGACACGAATTTTGAGTCAGAATGATAAATTTCAACAAAAACTTTCTAACAGTAGACCATGTAAACATTAATTTTTCCTTAAATAGAGATTGCTTGAACCAGCATAAAACATGGCTGGTTCGCTCAAAAAGAAATCCAAAATATCATTTAACAAAATATTCTACGTATGAAAAACAGTATATTAAGAAAATTATGACTTCCTTTACCAAAGATAACTGTATTTGTGGTGATATCAAACCCTCTCGCCCTCCCTCTCGGGCGGTTTCGTCGGGGCAGATGCGATCTATCCATCGACACACGCTAACGAGGGGCCGTTAAGACCCAGGAAGAAAACGCGGGAAGAAGGAATTCGGGACACGAGAGAGAGAGGGACTGCAAAGTAGTGGTCCCTGAGAGCGGAATAAAGTTTTTTTGTGGAAATATTGGACTAGTTGATTAATTGGTGAGACGAACCGGCGGGGCGGAATCCGCTGATTAAGAACGGGTTCCCTACAGTATTATAAAGTTAGTCTTTTTACTTCTATAGATTATACTTTGGCAATAAAATTAATCAGCATTCGTTCGTTTAGTTAAGGCAATGCAACACTTGAGCAATCTGTCCAGGGGGAATGTCTTCCGGGAGATCTTTTTAAGGGTAACTGGCCCGTATTTAGGCGTTACAGATGTGGAGAAAACCCGGAAAACTCCACGTGGCCAATCCGTCCTGGCGAACCCACGACCGAACTGCCCAGTGTTCAGGGAACAGAACCGCTTGGCCACTGGTGGTCCGATCTGCATTCGTTCTCGCTCAAGAGTATGGAGAGTAAAGTTTTTCGATTTCCTTGTCTTTTTATTCTGGTTTTCCGGTTTGTTACTTTAATTCCGATTTAATTCCGATAAGTACTTTTGTACAATTAAATTCGTTTCAGATGATGTAACTAATTCGGTTTTTATTCGATAGAAATACAAAAATTTTTAATGAATTCGTTAAACTTAATTAACTGATTGGATGTCTGAAATTTCGCAAGAAAGAAATTATAG